CCCCAAAACCCCAAAACCCCAAAACCCCAAAAAGCTTTAAATTATAAAATTTGTAAAAAATAAGGGTGAATTAACGATGTCTCACATGTCAAATCAAGCAAGTTCTATCAAAGTTAGTCAGAAAAAACAAAGAGTTCAGGTTAACCTAAACCTTCCCATTTACATCAGTGAAGACAAATAGTAAGGTTCCGACTCTTTCCAGCAGACTGGCCGGAATAACCCCTAATCCTCAAAATTTAGGCCAGATGATCAATATCCCTGAGATAAGTCGTGAAGAAATTCTAGATATCCACCAGTTTAGTGAAGAGAACCGTCAAACTGGAAAAATGGACAAGCGGACTCAAAGCCTCGCTAATATCAACCCAAGGTAAGCTCTCTGGCCCTGATCTTTTAGGAAGAGTCAAGTCCTTAAGGAAGGCAGGAAGGAGACCTTCCTGCCTTCCTTCAGCTCTAAGACGCCTAAACTGACTCCGTTCCAGAAGATCAAGATGCGAAAGTACTTGGATGTTAATGTCTTAGGATCTCTGGGCGGAAAGTCCTTATAAACCGGAACTTTAGTTCATACAAGAATGTGCAGAAATTCCCGATTAGGAATAAATTTCCTAAGAATTTAAGTATCAAATAAGACAAATAAGATGCTGATCTCGAAGAAAGCTCATATCAGTGATAGGCAATCAACCGACAGTGGAGAGTTCCAGATCTTGACTAAGCCGGCTGGCCGGTCTAAGTACAGCATCTCTCGGTATATCAAGCAGCAGAAGGAGAAACAGACAAAGGTTGAGCCAAGAGAGGAAGCTAGTTTTGGCGATGGCACCACTGTTAATTTTCACAATATCAAAATCCGTCGCAAAACTAGTAATATTTGCCCTAATGAGAAGTCCGAGATGGGCTCTTGTGAGGAGGAAAGGAACAGCTACGATCAATATTCCTATCGGAATTTCCATGATCTTAAGAGTTATGGACAATCTATTGCTGAAGTAACGTAGGGCTCTCAAAATCACACTTTTATAGTAGCCGGAATAGAGTCTCGCTCGATTTCGACTCAATGCCAAATTTTAAAAACCAGAAGAGAGGGTCAGTCCAAGTCTCAAATAAGCGTGTTAAGGTGAAGCAGAAGTCGGTAGATTACTCTAATTCTTCCCAGAGATATTTAAAAAGAGTGAGGAATGTAAGTTCCTGCGTAATTTTTGTAGAGCAAGAAGTTATTTAAAAGTAAGCACAGCATCTTTGAGTACTCTGAGAAGCACGACTCCACTCAGGAATCCCCTTCCATTGAGAAAAGCTACTCAGAAGCATTTAACTGGAATACAGAAATCATGCATTTCAATGATGTAAGTAATGTCATTCAATAGTTTAGAAAAAGGGCCAGAACTTGAGCTTCTCTAAAGGTCCGTGTAAATACAGCCTCCATGAGTTCAAGAAGAGCAACGGCTCAAATGAGCTATCGAGTGATGGGTCTAACCTCTTTTCTAACCTCAAGTTAATAGGCGATTTTCGAAGGAAGCAAGGCAAGAGTTTCTTCGTTTCTAAGAGAGCCTTTAATTTTCAAGATAGACGAGGATAATCTTGTCCTCTAAATATAGATTACAAGAACTGAAATATCTTCCTTCTTCCTTGATGTATGCCCACAGCTAGGTTATTCTTCTGTGTTGTTTGAGCCATAAGCAATCTTAGTTTTTCATCTGGGCTCCAGTTGGCCTAAATTCAATTATCAGCTTTGCTGATGGGGTTTTGGGGTTTTGGGGTTTTGGGGTTTTGGGGTTTTGGGGTTTTGGGG